GACTGTGTGCCCCCTCCCTGCCTGTCTGTGTGCCCCCCTGCCCTGCCTGACTGTGTGCCCCCTCCCTGCCAGGCAGAGACCAGCTGTAGGGTTAGAGGAGACCGCACTCCTTCCTGGTTCTCCTCCGCTTCTCACCCAGGGCCACAGGGCTGCTGGCCCAGCATGGGAGGGGACCCGCCCTGCCTCTGCCACCGTCCCGCCTGTCCTTCCTCTCCTCCTCCCTGTGGGACCCGCCTTGCCCGCCTTGCCTCCAGGCACACTCAGCACAGGGAGCCCTGGGGCTCTGCCCAGACCCAGGTTCTGGGCGCTCTTCCCTTCCTGCGTGCGCCAACCTCCAGCTGATTCTACCTTCATGCTTCCTTCTCCTTGGGTGTTTGCTCTTCTTCAAGCTCATTTTTAAAAAAATATGAAGCCTTCATTAAGGTCCCCTGGAGACGACTCCTGTAAGGGAGGTGGCTTGGACTGTGGTTTGGTAGAGGCTCGGCCCGCAGAACCTGCATGCAGGCCGCCACTCCATCACAGGCTGTCCTGGCAGGTTAGATGCACCCCGGCTACTTCCAGAATCACAGCTCCACTTACAGTATATGTGGAGACAAACAGGTATAAATTTCAATCAAGATGCAGTAAAGTAACCAGCACCAAATCCAAAGAGGCAGCACAGCCACGGCCACCATCTCTGTGCCTGGAGGGCCCGGCTGGCCACACCCCAGACAGTCTGCAGGGGGGCCCTGGCAGGTGGCGGTGAGGACAGACCCTCGCCACCTGCTTCTCTCCGCCAGGTCTGTGCACACAGAGGCATCGGGGCCCCTGGGCAGTGGTCTTGGAAGCACTCCCTGAAGGGCCAGGGAGGACCAGCTCACACTGTGCCCGCTCCCAGTGTTTTGTCTCGTTTTGTTCTAAACCGAAGTCCACGGCCCGTTTTCCTTTGTGCAGATGTCCCTCGGGTCAGGGGAGCGGGAGAGATTCGGAGGTAGGAAGCGTTGCAGTCAGGAGGTGCTGCCCTGGGTGCTGTGGGTGGAGTGAGGGCCTGGGACGCAGATCAGGCTCAGCCCTCCAGCATGGCCTTTGTGAGCCAGGTTCAACGAGAGCCCATCCTCCCTCCAGCTTGGAAGCCTCTGCCTGCACCAGCCGGTCCCTTCACGGCCCAGGCTAGTGTTTAGAGACAGGCTCAGCCTGGACAGCCCAGAATGAAGTGTCAGCGAGTGAGTGCGCATGAGCACGTGTGAGTGTGCGTGAGAGAGAGAGATCGGACAGACATAGGCAGAGGTGAAAAGAGGGAGACGGAAAGACCTGGAAGCCAGGGAGGCCCTGCCATGAGGAGCGCTCCCCCTTCAGGAGAGCAGCTGCCTTCCATTCCTGCCGCTGCGTCGCCCGGGCCTCGGGCCCAGGCAGCCGGGATGCAGCGCCGTGGCCCTGCTTACGAAGCAGAGGGCTTCTGCCCGGCCGCGGGCTTGCTTGCCGATGGAAGAGCCGACGAAGATGCCAGTGGAAAGCGCAGCGGCGGCCTTTCCTCCAGCCCCTTCGTGTGTTGCATGGTAAATATATATGTGTGTGAGTGTGAGTGTGTGTGTGTGTGTGTGTTCCATCTTTTCCCTGTTTTTATGGGTTTCTGATCTTCAGACAAAATTCCTCCCTCCCCCTGCTTCCTCCTTTGGCCAGTGTGCTGTGGATCACAGCCCCTGTCCTCAGGGGGCCACCTCCACACACGCAGGTGGGGCAGAGAAGCCAGCCAAGCAGCCTCCGTCTGTTGAGCAGGTGCCCCGAAGTGAGCCAAGTGCCAAGGGCACTCAGCCAGCCTGCGCACGGTGGGGTCATCAATAGGGTGCTGGCGAGTGGAGAGTTCTTGGTGTTCGGGTTGTTAGAGCTGAGTGTTGAAAGATTTGCTGAGAAGCGACGGGAGGCTGCCTGCCAGGCAGGGTGGACAGCATCACCCAGGCAGGGGTCGCCAGCACCACGACGCCCCCCGGAGCTTGGGGCCGCGGTGTTGGCGCAGCAAGGAGGCCGCAGTAGAGGTGCTGGAGGGGGTGCAGGGACTGGCTCTGAAGGACGTAGACGCCAGGGTTTGAAGCTTATCATAAAGGGAATAGGAACCAGGAGATTGGTTCCAACCACAGGATTTTGGAGCATATTTTAAAACCTTCAGTGAGCAGCAAGGGTACTTAACCCAGACCAGCTCAGTGCCACTGGTTGCTGTGTTTTATGGGGAAGAATTTGCAGTTAGGGAAGAGGGCGTGGTTCCTCTTGGGAGGCTTTATTTGTGTCCCTGGCCATATTTACTAAGAGCCAGAAGCCTGTCTTTGGGCGGAGTCCGAGTCCTGTGATGACTCTGAGTTTAGAGCCCTACCTGAGGAAGGGGGTCATGTGGGATCAGCCTCTTACTGCTCACATGGATTTGAGCTGATATTTCTCCTGAGGAACCGCCCAATGCAGGTGAGCGCAAGCTCTGCAGGTGCAGTAAAAGCCAAGGAGAGATTTATTGGGAAAGGGGATGCATTGCTCTGAGAATAAAATATTCATGAAATAAAGATGAGAGCTGCACACCAGGAGGTGGCGTGAGGACTGAGGGATGAGTAATCCATCACTGTGCCGGGAGCTGGCCTCCACCGCAGCCCGGAGCTACCGAGGCCGAGGCGGCCAGGCGGCTGGGCCCCTCGAGGCAGCTCACGGGCTGACCTGTCTGCATCCCTCCTGCTCCCTGAGGAAGATGCCATCCTGGGATACTTCCTCTGACTCCAGCCCTTCCCTGTCTCCACTCCTCTGATGCTTTTTAACTCCATGAAGAGGTTTTCCTTTCCTGCACCTTTTCCCTCTCCATTTATGCCACCCTCCCAGTGTTGCCCTGAGGCTCGGGGG